TAGGGCAAGCAGTAAACTGTCATTATCAGCTATTATCAAATAGGGCAAGCAGTAAACTGTCATGATCAGCTATTATCAAATAGGGCAAGCAGTAAACTGTCATTATCAGCTATTATCAAATAGGGCAAGCAGTAAACTGTCATTATCAGCTATTATCAAATAAGGCAATCAGTAAACTGTCATTATCAGCTATTATCAAATAGGGCAAGCAGTAAACTGTCATTATCAGCTATTATCAAATAGGGCAAGCAGTAAACTGTCATGATCAGCTATTATCAAATAGGGCAATCAGTAAACTGTCATGATCAGCTATTATCAAATAGGGCAAGCAGTAAACTGTCATTATCAGCTATTATCAAATAGGGCAAACAGTAAACTGTCATTATCAGCTATTATCAAATAGGGCAATCAGTAAACTGTCATTATCAGCTATTGTCAAATAGGGCAAGCAGTAAACTGTCATTATCAGCTATTATTGCCTAGAGCAAACAGTAAATCATCAATATCAGCTATTATCAAATAGGACAAGCAGTAAATTGTCATTATCAGCTATTATCAAATAGGGCAAGCAGTAAACTGTAATTATCAACTATTATCAAATAGGGCAAGCAGTAAACTGTCATGATCAACTATTATCAAATAGGGCAAACAGTAAACTGCCATGCTCAACTATTATCAAATAGGGCAAGCAGTAAACTGTCATGATCAACTATTATCAATTGTTGCAACATTGCCAGCAGTGTTTGTTTTGACATCAGCACTTTTATTAATCTTAACAAGTTACCACTTGATACAACCATTTTCAAAAAGGAATAGATTTTGATTCAAATTGAAATATGAAAATATAATCCTTAATGTTTTCTACATTAGAACACAATGAATTATTAAGTAATCACAAGGATAGAAGATCATTTCAAATTCAAGTTCCCTCATCAAATTTAGTGGAACAAATTTTCCCATATTCAAGTTGAAGTCAAAGACAAAACAAAAACAGCAGACAATGTTTCTCAAAATATTACATTGTTGCAAGGGGATACTGAGAGGCAGAGACCAGTTTTCCTGCTCACTTTATTTCAATGTGTCAACAGTAAAATAAAAAGGTCTAGAATGTTCAAGATTCACATTTATTATTAAAAGATGCAATATAACAATAATGTATTGCTAGATGTTCAATACCTGAAAGAATCCACTGGTACTCTCAAGGTGATCACAAATAGATGGTAATAATATGACTGCTTTCTGTGCTATATCAACATTTGAGTGTCTGTCCAGATGGGAAAATCCAGTGTTCTTATCAGCTTTGGTCTAAATATAAACATAATTATTATCATTATAACAAGGCAAATAAAAATTTGACCAAATATATACTTATTTTGTTCTTCAGCACATAGTACTGTGACCCCTCGAGAAGTCGCACCTGAGTAAGTTGCGGGCAGTTGGATGGCTTCCCAAAATTCTATTGTGTTTTGCAGTTTTAAAGGAAACCACTAATAAATATTTTGTTGCATCATGTATTTAATTGGCCGTTAAAGGACTGGACGAGACAACTTAACACCTACCAGCTGTCAATGAGGGGTGATGGCAGCCTGAATTATGTTCTTCTCGGCCTTTCTTTTTTGATATAGCTCTATAAAACTCGCTACAATGAATTGATTCCATGCAGACATGGACGCTGTGATGTTGTCCAATAAAGAAGACGTACTATAAATAAACCCATGTGAGTATATGTGCTTTTTATCCATTTTCAATGCATAATGCATCAATGCATCTACACATATGAAAAATGGTGAATTTTTGGTTCTCAATTGTACAAAAAGGATGGGTGTGACTTCTATTAGGGATGCGGCTTCTAATACAAATTTTACGGTAGATTTAATCACCTTGGTTACTGCAAGACCATGAAACCTGGAGTATATAAGAAACCAAATCTGTAATTTCAATTTCTAAACTTTATTAAAACAGAGACAAATTTATTGTAGTGACGATAACGGTCACACACATTTTTTACCTTGAGAAAAGTTCTTCTTTTTGAAGCAGAAGCTATTAAAGCATGGTCTAGTTTTCTTGTCAAATCTTCTAGTAAAAACTCCAACTGAGGTGGCTGAATCTGTAAGACTGTAACTTCCTGTGGAACAAATATATCTATTATGTATGTATACACATTGTGGATTCATGCTGGTTGGCAAATCATATACACTCATAATCACAAACTTTTTTTTCCCCAGGTTTGTATGCACCACGATCAATAGAAACAAAATTTTCTTGTCAGCAAAATTAAATTCTGCCTAACTACAGGAATGATCAGTTGGTCATTTGTATGATGGTAATTATTTCCCTAATTTTAACCAGATTCAAGTTCACATAACATAGTGTCAACCATTTTGATTGTCAAAAGTTGACAAAGTGCAACTAACTAACACTTAAATCACATGTGACTTTGCTGATATCCCAAATCTAGGTCTCCTGTGAGATGACTTTCACCATCATTAAGTGTAATTGTGGACAATCTGAATATCTACATTTAAAACACTACAAAATAGTGATTATGTGTTGCCATGGAATCATGACATAACTCACCTTAGTGTACATCTGCGTATCTAACACAGCTTTTGTGACCAATCCACAGTTGAGTATTGTAAATACTTCTATGTCGAGTTCTCTGAAAAATGGTCTGTAGAGAGAGAGGTTTACCATCACCTTGTCACACTTTGATTCCTTCCCTGGGGAGTCATTATCCAGCTGAGTAGATGTACTATTCATCTGTGTCTCTGTACTTGATGTGTTTATAGTATTATCCTTATCACCCGCTTTCTTACTACAATATATTAAAAGAAAAACACACATAATCAACCAATGTATAATTACAATCCATGACATAATAATGTATCCATTGCAATGTGCATTCATGCAGACAAGGCTCGCTGAACGAATGTGTACAAGGCATTAACCACGGTTGACGAAGACAATAAAACAATGTAGCACCCTTGGCATACACGTACATGCCATATATAATATAAGAACTGTAACTTATCACCATTATAGCACATGTACAAGACAAGAGTTACTAAAGTCATTATGTACCCAAAAAGCATTCCTATTGTTTATATGTACGAGAAATTATCATGTAGCACCCTTTGTACATGAACATTAGTTATCCTCCAGCAAGCACATATAAGGAAGAAATGTGTTAACACCGTATTAGATTTTGTGGATAGAAAAATGAACTATAGAGGGCGTTAGGGAGGCAACTCGTATCTTTTCCATACAGATCTGTCCAACTGTAAACCTCTCCTGTTTTCAAGCAATGCGTTATTTTTTAATTGTATGGTTATATTGTTGGACTTTTCAGTAATTTGTTTTCCCCTCGAGTATCATGAGACATGATGATCCATAACCTCTACAAATGTTAAAAGAATGATGTAAATGTAGTAGAGTTCGACTCACCCTTTTGGTTTCCTTCCCTTCTTGACAGCCATTCCTGACGTACTAGCACCACCTGGTACAGGTACAACAGTCAAGGTATCACCATCAAAGTTTGCCATTGGTGGTTGGTAACCTGGCGTAACTGCAATATCAATAGGTCGTGCTTCACTATTTGACTATTTTCACACAACAAAGTTGTATAAATAATAATATTCAAATATCTTTCCCAACAACTTTTAAAATGTTGATAAGTGTTATAAGAAAGTGACACAGAACACATGTAAATAAAGAACCATTCTTGTATAACATACACATTGTGTAAATTTGATCGATTCTAAACACTAGCCTCACTCTCACTTCCATTCCAACTTTGGAAAATTGGTAATGTTCATAAATAGGAACAGAAATATTTGTTGCATGAACACAAGTCACTTTTTTACTACTTTTTCCAAAGTGGAGGTACCTCAACATAAATATGTGTGATGTTTAAACAAAGTAACATGCAGTCAGACCAAAACTGTTTACACCTTTTTCAAAATAGACTCCCATAAATTTGTTGATGTTTTCTATGTCCATTAACTAAGACAATAAAGAAAAATTCATAATAATACGTAAAATGTGGCACTAAAAGTTTGGTTGAGAATAAATGTGGGTTGAAGACCAATCGCTATGAATAATAATATATTGATCTGTTAAAATAAATTACCAGCAAGACATTTCTCTAATAAGGTCTGAGATGATGTAATGTTTTGTAACCTTGACAACACTTTGCCTTTCATCTCTGTATCAGTCTGACCAGCAAATGCATTGAGAATCTGAAAATAAATAGATTCAATGTGAAATCTTGAGTAATGTGTGAAAAGACACGATTTGAACGTCTGTCGCAAAAATCAAATTAAAGCTGCAAGCAGCATCACAGGGGCCCAAGTATACATGCCATAAATAATGTCAAATGATACACATGATACACAATTAGTTTGAATGATTAGTACCATGAGGTCGAAATGCAGTTGGTTCCATATATTTAATTGAGATATAAAGGTTATT